AATGTTGGTTTTAATGTAGCAAACATGGAATCAAAACCAAGAAGGACGAGAAAGCCCAACTGGACAGAGGAACAGTGTTTACTTAGCCCAGTTAGTGGAAGAACACAAGGCCATCCTTAAAGGAAAATTCGGGCCGGGTGTCACAGCACGGGGCAAGAAGCAGACGTGGGAGCGTATAGCACAAACTATTAACGGTTCATTCCCCCTGCTTGTGCGCACCAGTGAAGACTGCGAGAAACGTTGGTACGTGTTGCAATCAAAAGCCAGAGAGGAAATTGCAGCACACAAGCGGGAGTCATCACGCACAGGTGAGTGATATAACACTTTTTTTTTAAACCACTGGCAAACTTATCTCAAACAATTATATGTATACTGTACATGTGGTCCATTGTATCGTTTTCTAGGGGGGGGGGGACCACCTGCTAAACAGCTAGTAGCCCAAACCGTGTTCAACATCTTTGATCACTCTGAAACCAGTATTACCGGTTTGAAGGAGGGCATAGACAGCTCAATGATTCAGCTGGTAGAACTACAAAAATTGTAATTTTAATAAACCAACAGCCAAGTAACACAATATAAAGACACAATTTTATTTAACATAGCCAAGGCCATTTCACATATTTATATCTGGCATTCTTTGAACTGAAAAAAAAAATTGGCCTAAATTGATTTAAAATAACAGAGATTATATGTTTTCTGCTCTCAGTAGCACAGAGCCTTCAGCAGAGGAATGGGGACCGTGGACATCGCAGATGTACGACCCGAAGCGCCTCATTCCCTGCCTTCTGCTGCACCCGCAGCTGCTCCAACACCATCCCTAATAGAGAAAAAAGTGGAGATGGAGATGGATGTCCTAAAGCAGCAGAAAATAGTACTCCATCTACAGGAGGAGTACTACAAACTAAAAATTGAGCTACTCAAAAATAAAACGTATAACAAATAATATTTTTTGTGTGTCTTCATAATATCTTTCTAATGAAAATGTTGGCTAAGGTGCTGTTTATTCACGAATTTTATATTTACATTTATTCATTTAGCTGACGCTTTTATCCAAAGCGCCTTACAATTGCTATATATGTCAGAGGTCGCACGCCTCTGGAGCAACTAGGGGTTAAGTGTCTTGCTCAGGGACACATTGGTGTCTCACAGTGGATTCGAACCCGGGTCTCTCACACCAAAGGCATGTGTCTTATCCACTGCGCCATCACCACCATTACATTCACTGTTACTTACATGAAATGCAAATTAGTAAACTGGGCTCTGTAAGGATTCCCCCTTTGGGACAGATCTCTCCCTTGTGGAGGGTATTCTTCATCATCCTCTTCATCAGCCCAGTTGTCCGTGGGAGGGTCTGCAATTTGTCTAGCTTTACAGATGTTATGAAGCACTGCACAGGCTGTTATCACTTTGCAGACCTTTCCTGGTGCCAGTCGCACCTCTCCATGTAAAATGTGAAAGCGCCTCTTTAGTTGACCAATACCCCGCTCAACTACGGCTCGTGTTTTCTTGTGAGCTCTGTGAGTTAATGAAAATGAACAGAATTCAGTTGATATTTTCAAAATATAATGGTAGGTTATTTATGGGAAGTAGTGTAGCCAACAAATACTAAGCTACTGCAACACATTTGTTGTTGTTTAAATTTGAAGTCCACACACATTAATTGTATGTTGTCACTGTTACCTGTTGTAATTTAGCTGTGACCCCTGCTCAGGATAGAGGTAAGGTCTGAGGAGCCATGGTTTACAAGGATAACCACTGTCCCCTAACAAGTGGCAATTTGCTTGAATACGACGTCCTTCAAACAGATGTCTCAGGCCACTCTCCGCCAGTATCCTGGCATCATGTGTTGCGCCGGGCCATTTTGCAACAATGTCTAAAATCTTATAATCAGCACTGAAAACAACTTGAACGTTTATGCTGTGGTACCTCTTTCTATTAACATAAACGTCCTCTTCTTCCGACGGTGCGATAATTCGGATGTGGGTTCCATCTATGACTCCGACAACACCAGGGAAGCCTGCTATATTGACAAATGCAGTTTTTTGAGCCTGCAAGGTGGGAATGTCCAGTGGAAACTAAATGAACTGCGACACAATAAGAGGTTCTGAAAGTGCTGTAATGTTTGTGTGATCACTGCTTACAGAAGGTTGTGACAGACCCAAATCATCACTGCTGCATTGATGCATTTTCCCAGTTGCCAAATATCTTAATGTAGTGATTACTTTCATTTCTGGCGTTATGGCATTCCTGCGCTGTGTCGGTGATATTAGTGTGTCTCTAATAAGATCAGTCACAAACATGATCCCTGCACGATCTCATCTATAGCGTCTTAACAACTCACTGTCATCTATTGTCTGCAACACATTTCTTCTCTCTCTTCATCGTTCTGCCATTTTCTCCTCTGCTAAAGAAACTCTTAAGCCTCTTAAAAGTCCTCATCCATACTCCTAACAACTTTGACCTTAAGACCTCTTTTAAGGGTTAAGATACTCTCTGAATTACTTTTTTCTTTACTAGGATTTTTTCTTTAATTTTAGGAGTAAACACCCACATTTCTAAGAATTTTCTTAGAATTTTGTCACTAGGAGCTACTTTTTTTTTTGCATTAAGATTCTTTAGGAATACGGGCCCTGGTCTTTACAGCAGAAATTCTTTCTTACAAATAAAGTGAAAGAAATTTCCTTCAAGCTCATACACAGATTCTATCCTGTTAACCCTCTGGGGACGGATTGGGCGGTACCACCCAAAATGGCATACTTTTACAAATGTGTAATTATCTTAAAAACTATTAATGATAGAGAGCTGCGGTCTTTTTTACCGTCTTCCTCAGATTCCGCTGAAAACAGTGATACCCGGCTTTGTAAATATACACACTTCCTTGTTGCGCAATACCACTATGTAAAAGGCCAATGAAATCGATGTTGTTTGGCAGATTACGCGAACAACAACCAATTGAAAAATTGAAATATTGAAATATATAAAGGAGAAATATTTTTCTTACCCAATCAGAGGAAGGTTACCATGACCTTTCTAGCAAATCAGAGGACTCTGTAGCCTTGCAAGGGGTGGTACTATATAGTTAGAGATATGACGCAAACAGCATTGAATGGAGAGAAGGAGAGAGAGCGAACGGAGGCTTACGGAGCGGATTATCAGAGATTTATATGAGAGAGAGAGACAGAACAATTATTATATATATATTAGGGCTGTCAAATGATTAATCGTGATTAATCACATCCAAAATAAAAGTTTTTTTACATAATATATGTGGGTGCACTGTGTATAATTATTTTATATATATAAATACACACACATGCTTGTATATATTTAAGAAATATTTTCATGTATATACTGTATATAGATTTATATATAATTTATATTATATATAAATATAAATATTTTATATATAAATATATTTTTTTTCTTAAATATACATGCATGTGTGTGTATTTATATATATACAAAATAATTATACACAGTGCACCCACATATATTATGTAAAAAAAAACTTTTATTTTGGATGTGATTAATCACGATTAATCATTTGACAGCCCTAATATATATATATATATATACACATACATACAATTATAGCATTATTTATTGTTTTAGCACTTTTATGATGGCAAGCAGTAAAGATTTACGGTGGAACAAGCTCTGGAACAATTACTGGAGAGTGACGAGGAGAAAGCATTAGAAAATTCTAAGCATTCCTAAGGAAAACACCTGGGACTATTTGTAAATAAAGTTACATTTTTCATTGTTCTTTACACATTTTATTTAACAATTACACATGTCTGTCAAGCAAAGGCTTTGACAAATATATTTTTTGTTCAAAAACTGTTCACTATTGTTGTGTGATTTGTGATTTTCAGAAATAAATGAGAAAAATCTAATTTCCGTTTTTGAAATTCTCTAGTTTATAGTACATTTTTCACTCATACTTCCTTTATAAACACATTACATGCATGCTTATGTTAGCTTAGGGTCTTCTGAATCCATAGATACCAAACACATACTGTTCCATCTCCATTACATATGGTTTATAAGCCCAAATGTAAAAATAGAGAAAACGGACCAAAAATGTCCCCAGAGGGTTAAGAGATTTTTACAAAGATTTAAATCTGACATTGAGCTAACATGCTAACAATTCTGATGAAACAGTGGTTGACTTATTTTGGTCGTGTCACTACACTCAGAAGCTTTGGAAGGAGATTGATGTATTTATCAAGTGTAAGATTTGGCCAGGCTTCTCAATACATATGAGAAACATTATATTTGGGTATTTTGACTCAGACCCCACAAATGAAAACATCTGTTTTGTTATTAATTTAATTATTTTCATAAATTTCACAAATGCAAATTTTCTTTTTTGTTGTAGTCTCCTTTATGATTGTTTTGGTTAATATTATGTGATGTACGTATGCTTTCTCTTTTGTATGTTCTTGTTCTCAGCATTATAAAAAAAAAATAAAAAAAAAACCAGACAAGAACGCATATTGAGAAACGGCCTCGAACCTTTCTGCAGCGAATCACGACAGACGCAGGAGCGCGGCGCAGCCTGATGACGTCACACACCAGACCAAAATAAAAGTCCTGTTCACATGATGCGTTTTTCTTTTGCATCCAAGAAAATATTAATAACTGGCAATGAGAGAGTATGAGATTCTGTCTAATAGGCAAAACTGTAATGTTTGTGTGCAGAAACCATTTATATCAGATATTACAGTATTAATATGCAAACAGCTACAAATGTTGTTAACAAGTTAGAAATACATGTTAAAACAGTGTATGAATTAATAAAGAAAAGTTCATATTATGTGTCATTGTGGGATTGGCAATATGAGCAAAATCATATTTCAAGATGAGACATGTTAACAATAACACCAGGTGTGTAAATGCAGTTCTGTTCAGGTTTATTTAAAGTAAACTGGATTATATTACAATAATTGATCAAGTGTTTACAGTATGATCAGATGATCTGGGTTTATATATTTCACATTTATTAATACATTGACATTTATCAATTTTACAACAAATAACATGTTTTATAGAATGAAACATTTCATTGAAAGGTCATTTTGATAGTGATAATACAAATGATTTATGTGACAGAACAATAAGAACTGAATATAGTTTGAGAAAAGCACAGATACACACCATCACTCATCGTGACTCACACACACACACACACACACACACACACACACACACACACACACAATGATCTTACTGTCTATATGAGGATTCATTACACACATTTATTCTGACATGTTATTTTACTGTAGTATTACTGTAATGAAGAGACAATAAGAGACTCTAGAACATCTCAGTGTTACTGATTTATCATGCGGCCCAAAGCATTATGGGTAGAATCTCTACAGTCTGTTCTCACTCATCAACACAGTTTCACTGATGATCCATAATAAACCATAAACCCAGGATAGAGTTTGTGTGTGAATGTGGTCTGGACTGTGTGTATGAGGCTCGTTGTGTTTCTCTCGACGCTGTAGAAGGACAGAGTTCCTGCACTGGGATCCACACACACTCCTATTCTCCTGATGATGGACTTTACATAGAGTTCAGTCTCTATGTTATTGTGCCAGAATGAGTAACCGGAGGACAAGCAGTACAAACTCCAGGACTGATCATTATATCCAAACCGACACTTTTTACCCCCTCCCTTCCTGCTGATGCTCTTATATGCCAATGATATACACACATGTTCACCACTCCACTCAATCTCCCAGTAACAGCGTCCACACACACTCTCTCTACACAACACCTGATCCACATTATCAAATCTGTCTGGATGATCAGGATACAGCTGGACTTTGTCAGTGATAGAAAAAGTAGTAATCACTCTGTTCTCCTCAGACAGACGGAGGTATTTATTCACTGTGTTCGGATCCAGAGTGAGCGGAAGAGAAT